AATTATATTTTTACTTTTTATTTGTTACTCAGATTGAATATTAGGGAAGAGCTTCTAGTTCAGTCCAGTAGTACTAACAACAAAATTAGTAACAGAGCTCATGGAAACAATAATAGTTATAAGCCACTAGCATGCTATTAGACATTCTTCATGGCAATGGTATATGCAAATTCAGTGCTGTGCTATGGTCCATTAGTATGACTATTCATTCAGACAAAAAAGAAGTGAAGTTTAAATAAACACACATGCACAATTTTCAACAAGTCCTTAAGTTAAAAATAAAATCCATAATGTACATCCATTGTCATTCACATTGTTCAGCAGTTTAGATCCACACCAATCACAATGCACGATGCTCACCAACCCTATAAAAAAAAAAAAAACACAATCCATGTCTGTACCCATCTGTTCCCTCAGCCAAATGACAGCTCTGGTTCTTTCCACTAAAATTTAAACAAAGGATTGGGGTGATATAATTGCCTGTATATAGACATGACCAGCACAGAAATTGATCAATGATGTCACATGGGAGACCCTGTTTATTTGTTTACATTCAAGCAGCAGGTATTGGAACTGTAATTCAACCAAGGGAAGTGACAGGAGCAAAAATTTTGTAAGTGGTAGGTGTATTTTTTTCTTTTGCAGAGTCATCAGGCATTCAGGATCATGATTGACATGGATCTGCATCACTGGAGGATGTGATTGACAGTGAAAGTGGCACTTTGTTGCAGTGTTTTTTGTGAATGAGTTGGGGTACTATGCACTAGTGATGGGCTGAACCCCCCCTCTTCGGTTCACAGTCAAACATGCAAACCTAATGAAAGTTTGACCGCAAACTTCAATCTCAATGCAAGTCTATGGGACTAGAAATTGTAAATTCAAAAGTGCTCATTTTGAAGGCTTATTTGCAAAATAAACTTCAAAGTTATTGGTCATAAAAGGAATATAGGAACTCAGGTACTGCGCTGAGGGACATGAATCGGTGACAAAATTGTTTTTGAAAAAGTAAAATTTTTAAAGGAAAGGAGGAGTTATTTTTCATTGCTTAAAGTAAAAAAAAAAAGAAAAAGAAAAATTCCTTTAAATATCATGCCTGGGGGTCCGATTAAACTACCTGCAAATGTGCACATCTGTACAATGTTTAGAACGTGCTGCAGGAGGACTGACATTTTTTTTTTAAATTACATTTTTATTAAAAAAAAAAACAAAATAACTACCCCTTAGGTTTGGTAGGAAAGTTAGGAGGGACCCCACAGTGAATGTTTTTTTTTAAGTGTGTGGGTTTCCCCCTAAAAGCCATACCAGAGCCTGGTACCAGATCCTGTCCCCTCTTCTGAATAAGTATGGGGTACATAGTACCCCGACTCATTCACTAAAAAGTGTAAAATGTGAATAAAAACAAAACAATAGTTTTTGACAAGTCCTTTATTAAAAAATAAAGCCAAAAAAATTGTTCCATCATTGTAATTCATCATTAGTCATGGCATCCAGTGTTGTCATGATGGCGCCGATTTGCCAAAATAAAAAATCCGCTGAGCACACGCCACAATCTGACATTTGCCGGTCAGATGTAAACAATGTCTCTGTTAGCTCCACCAAAATGTGCTGTGCTTGACCAAAGCATTGAATGTGACCTGTGGTCAGGTGCATTGCTTTGACCAATCATAATACACTGTGAGAGCGCAGTGCATTGTGGGGTGAGGCGGGCAAATAGCCAGCCAAACACCCTTACCGTTCGTGTGTTCGGTAAACACACGAACGGCTGATGCTCGAGTTGAATTTCCATTCGACTCAAACCTCAAGGCCATAACTACTATGTTATGGATACTACACATAGGGGATTACGTATCCTTCATATTGTTAAAGGAGGTTTCCAGATTCCAATAAGCTCCCAAGCCTGCAAACCCCTCAACTACTGGGCCAGGGTTGTGGGGAAAAGGCCCTTGTCCTCATCAACATGAGGATCAGGTATTTTTTCCAGGAGGCAAGATAAGGAGCTGTACAACCCCCCCCCCCCCCTTCTCCATACCTGACCATACCAGACCATAAGGGGTAGTTTTTACTAAAACTGGCTAATTCGGAATCTGGTACAGCTGTGCATGGTAGCCAATCAACTTTTAACCTCAGCTTGTTCAATTAGGCTTTGGCAATAAAACCTGGAAGCTGATTAGTTTTTATGCAGAGGTGCACATATTTTTGCACTCTCCAGCTTTAGTAAATAAACCCCTAAGGGTCTGTTTTAGAACCTAAGAGAACCTCATATCACTTTTTTGTTATTTTTGTATGGGATCCACTTTAACATTTATATCAGATGATTTTATATGTGCAAGTATTCATACTTTCAGATATGGAGGATAAAGCAGAAAGCACCAGGATCATAGAAGCAGGGAGCAGCAAGAATCAGTGATGTTACTGCAGCTGGATCTTGCTGCCAAGAGAACTCAAGAAATAAGGATCACATAGATGATGAGGTGGCAGACCAACTGTGGGTCTCACCAACTTGAGAAGAGGAAATTTCTGAAGGAGAGCAACAAGGGAGGATTTTGCTCAAAGGCAGGGACCACTTTCAGAGAACTAGAGGTAACAGCCATTTTACATATATCTGCCTGACAGTGCTTGGTATCTGCTGTTAACAGCATAGTTATGGTTTGCAGCCTCTGCAGGTACCAAATCACTATCATTTTGCTCAAAATCTCATCCCCTCCCTCCAACATCATGTAGGATGACAAATGTCTGTGTTGTTGGACCATTAGGTAGGTAGACATGACCCAGGACATATCAAATAAGTATGAACAGACAAGGAACATATCAATCATAGCCCACTGAACCAACCTTCTGTTGGCTGAGAAAGATGCAGGGCAGGGCTCACCACTGGACTGGGTGGTGTTAATATGTGCCTTGTCAAATGGTGAAAGTGCAATTACCTATACCTCCCCCTCTTCACTGTCCTCACCTTTTAAGTTCTCAGAACCAACATCCCTCATATGCACCCCAAAGCATATTCAATGTCTCAAGCTACAGACTGCTATGCTTTGTTGCAGTTTGTATGCCTGGGGGACAGGACCTACACTGAACCTGAGGTAGTCAGCAATCATTTGGTTCAGGTGTACCTGTGAGTAGCAGCCACAATAGAGCCTGGCTGCTGTGGTTTAAAACAACTCCTAAAAATTGGCACTAAGGCAGCTACCACTGCTGTCCCTCCTTTCATAGCTCAAATAATTGGAAGCATATATGTCATCAGAGAGGATCCCACCACAATAAAGAAATATGGCAATAAGGGAATTTTTTAGTGACTTCTCAAAGTGCCGTGTTTTAGCAGTAGATTGGTTGTTTTACTCTTATATCAGGGATCTAATAGGATGGCCACCCAATCACTCTCTCTATAATGACCTGAATTCTGGGGTCTTTGATAAAACATATGAGCATAAGGGACCTCATTCAGCACAAATTGCCTGCAGCAGAAGGCCTCAGTTTTCAGTGTCACTGAAAACAAAAACTATCCTCAAAAATCTCACCTCACTCACATACAACTCCAGCAGTTTAGGAGGGGTGAAATGCTCCCCTTGAAGCCTGGCCCATTTTCACTTCCTCCACATCAACATCACCCCAGCACTCCTCTCCTCAAAATTTTTTGTCTGCCTCTTTCTGCTGCTGCTTCACAGGGATGAACCAAAGGAAAAAGGGTCCTACTGGTTCTGAGACAGCAGCAAGTCCTTTCCTCCTGTTGCTGTGCTTTCACACAATGGAGTGTGTTCCCTTTTAAAAACACGAGAGAGATTGTGTCACTAATCATAATCTTGTCTCAACTCACCACTGAATCTGTTACTAGCTATATGGTTTGCTGCTGCCTTAAAACTGGATTGGGGATCCAGAGAAAATCTGAAACATAAAAGAGCAAAAGGAGGCGCAAGAGAGCCACATAGTGCAGTAATGCCTTATAAATCAGGGCTTGAAATTTCCGCTCTCTCGCTCGCCAAATGCGAGGAAAAATCCCTTTGTGGTGAGCACATATAAGGCGGGTGGCTTGCAATAGAGCAGGTGGCTTGCAATGCGATCCCCAGGCTTCGGGGATTGATTTGCATTCCACTTGTGCTCCAAGCCTCGTTGTGAAGCCGACTGGCGGTTTCTGCCTTCCGATTTCCGACTTCCAGTTTCTTCTTCGCCGCTGAGGGGGACATGAGGCCCGCTCTCCACCACTTTGGGGGAAAATGACTTGTGTATGGCCAGCTTAAGGTGAGCTTCTTGCATGCACACTACAGGTTGTTACTCATTGTTACAGTTAGAATGGAGCACCACTCAATTGTTTGAAGTTTTGTATATAGAGAGAAAGGGCTAGAACCTATGTATTTTACTGTTGTCTGCATCTGGCCTGGTGAGATTACAAAGACTAGGAAATTGTGTACAATGCCCCACCATTTACACTGTTTTTGCCAACATCCCAAATATTGAAACAGACAACAACTTTAGAAATATCCCCCTGGGACTTTGAAAGGCAAAAAAAGTGTGTACACAGGTATAAAACAATAAATACTTATTGCAACAAATTATTTTTTTATAAAAAGAATCGAAAGACTCAGTGAGGTTGAGCTGCAGTACAACAATGTATGACTTAAAAGTAGAAAACATACACGGTGTGCATATCCTGACAGTCTGTAATTATTACAGACTGTCTGGATATGCACACCATGTATGTTTTGTACTTTTAAGCTTTAACCAGTAGCCTACAGGGCACTTATACCCCCTTCCTGCCCAGGCCATATTTCCAGCTTTCAGCGCTGTCACACTTTGAATGACCATTGCGCGGTCATGCAACACTGTACTCATATGAACTTTTTATTATTTTTTTTTGTGACAGATAGAGCTTTATTTTGGTGGTATTTAATCACCTCTGGGTTTTTTATTTTTTCTTAAAAACAAACCAAAAACCACTGAAAAGTTTGAAAAAGAAAAGTTTTTTCTTAGTTTTTGTTATAAAATTTTGTAAATAAGTGATTTTTCTCCTGCACTGATGTGCGCTAATGAGTCTGTAGTGATGGGCACTGATAGGTGGCACTGATGGGCACTGATGAGGAGGCACTGGTAGGTGGCACTGATGGGCATTGACAGGCATCACTGATGGGCACTGAAAGGCAGCACTCATATATGGCACTGATAGGTGGCACTGATTGGCGGCACTGACTGGCACTGTTCGATGGCACTGACTGGCACTGTTAGGTGGTACTGACTGGCACTGTCAGGCGGCACTGATAGGTAGCACTGAAGGGCACTGATAGGCGGCACTGATGCAGACTGATAGGTGACACTGGCTGACACTGATAGGCGGCACTGACTGGCACTGATAGGTGGCACTGATTGGCAGCACTGACTGGCACTGATAGGTGGCACTGATGGGTGACACTGAAAGGCAGCTGATCACATGTAAACAGGTAAATGCCAGTTATCTGCATTTCTCTCCTCACGAGCTGTCACGCTGATCACATGACCGAGCCGTCATCTTTGGTCCTTTCCGTTGATCGGTGATCCGCTGTGTCCAAGAGACACAGCACACCGCTGATCGCCGCGCTGCGCACTCCCGGAGCCACGCATGCGCGCTTAGAATGGGAGGGGCGTCATATGACGTTCTCCCAAAATGAGAGAACTGCCTTGCACCCATCATTGTACTATATGGCTGGCATAAGGCGGTTAAGGGGTTGTGGTTGGGGGCAGGGCTGGGGTTGGAGGCGGACCTGGGCAAGGTTGGGTGGGGCAACTGGTGGAGAGTAAGGTTTGTGCCTGGATAGTAGGTCTGGACTCAAAATGTTAAGCTCTGCCTTATATTATAACACATATAAAAATACATGCTTAAATAAACACTCTAATTTTTATTTCTATGTAATAGCTATTCAGGTGCTTGTGTGCTCTCCTGACACAACTGCTGTATTTAAAATAAGCTATATGTAACATTTAAAACATAAACTACACATGCAAAATATGTGAGGCCTCACTGATAGAGAGAGGAGTGTGAGCATGGTGCTCTATGGCGGCATGGGTTAGGAGCTCCCACACCCGCCAAGTAATGGTGCTTACCTGATGCCTCTATCTGCCCATTTTTGCCACTGAGAGACTTTGGTGTGGGGGGTGCTGTGTGGCTAGTGGACCTGGAGACCAAGAGAGGTGTAACGGGAGAGGACCGGGAGGTGGTTGCCTGTCACTAGGTTGAGAAGGACCTGGTGGAGAAGAAAAGGAGCAGGAGGGCCCAAATTACCAGTCAGGTTACTGGGCAGAGAAGCCTAGGAGCTGGTGAGCTGAGTCCTGAAGATAGGAGGAAGGAGTCCACCGGCTCCTTTCCCAATGGACCTACAGTCTGCTCCCCCCTACAGTGTGGCAGATCCCCAGCAGAGATGTAGAGTGAGAAGTGGTGTCTGCGGTACCATACAGTGCAAGGAGGATCATACTGCAGAGCTGGAGTGGAGACCTGAGACAGAGATTGCCAAGCTTGGAAGCCCCTTAGGGAAATATACCAATGATCTACTGAAGTAGTGTTTCTGCGGGAGACACATATATCCCAGGATTCAAAAGTTAAGTTATACTCTAAATATCTACCTACCTGATATTATGCAGACTCACCAATAAGATGGGCAAAGGGAGTGGTGATAGGCTTTGGAAAAAATATAAAATTTATTTTGGATGAAAAGCTGGCAGCTATTTATTTTTAGGAGAAAATTTGCAGGGAAAGAGTGTACATTAGCAAATATTTACTGCCCTAAAAAAAAGACCCGATAATATATTTAGAAGGAATAGTGGCAAAACTTACAGATTTTAAAAGGGGTACTGTGATTGTGGCAGGTTATTTAAATTTTTGCATGGACACAGGGATGGACGCTTCATTGTGTGCTCAAAGAGAGGGAGATAGGAGGTCTAAAGAATATTAAAAAAAAGTTACATCAATGTCAGCTGATGGACGCCTGGAGGGTTGAACACCCAATGGAAAGGGACTATACCTTCTTCTCTGGGATGTATTCAAGACTAGACTATATTTTGATTGAACATAGACTTTTGGAGTCATTGGTGAAAACTAACAATGACTCACAATGAGACTATGGTTTGGAAGAGAACAGAGTAAAAAAATATGTGATGATTAAATGAGACCATTTTACAAGATCCAGAAATGGAAATAAGAGTAAAAACAGGAAATATATCAATATTTTAGGATAAATGAGTATAAAGGAGGTATCTATCGCAACGGTATGGTAAGCACATAAAGCTTATATTAGGGGTATATTGATTACAATAGAGGCGGAGATAAAGAAAGAACAGGGGAAACAAATCAAGGTATTAACGGAAGAACTTTATCAGTTGAAACAATTATATAAAAAAAAATAAATATAAAGCTACAGCAAGAGATAATATTAAAAAGAGAGGAGTTAAAGAATTGTATGGAACAAGAAATAAGGAAGCTTTTTAATGGGGTTTCAAAGGATAGATATTGGTGGGGGAATAAACAAGGGAAATATTTACTGAAGAAGTTGAAGGAAAAGAAATCAAGGAATTTTATAAAAAAAAAAAAAAAAAAAATATGTGAGGCCAATATACAATGTTGCTGATGCTGTCTGTGAAGATTGCACTGTCCTGAAACATCATATACTGCTTAAATCATAGCTGCCCATGCCCTCTTTATGACAATAATTACCTATTAGCCTTGAAAATGTCCATAATTGATTATCAGGTTTCACCTTTCCACCCTTATAGACTTTAATGCTTAGTTTGGATTTTATAGATTTCAAAAATGATTCAATAAACAACCACCCCCACACCCTGAAAATTGATCCCAGGAAGATTTGCTTATTCCTATTCCTCGTATCAATATGTTCCTCTCCTTGTTAGCATGTGTACACTAAAGCACAACTGACTGGCTAGTGCTGCTTCTCCTCCTCCCAAGGAATTACAGAGACTGATACCATGTCATATTCAGGTACTTACAGTGCTTGTATTTTTTAAGAACATTTTAGAATGTATTAATGAATACAGAGCTGCACTAATTTGTCTCTATATCTGCCAGGAGTTCAGCTCTACATCAAGCACTTATTCGGCAGAAAGTAAAAAAGATGAATCTCAATTATTTATTAGTAAAAGCATCATACATTTTCTAAATAAAACCAATAGACAGCATAGGTAAGAGTAAACCAACAGAAAAATAATCTTGCTGTAAAATGCTCTATACTTAGAATGTGCAAGTTTTGAAAATGTGAAGTACCCCATGATTACCATAAAATGGACTTGCTGTATCTTGGTTTTTTAGCACTTGCATTCACCAGCAACAAATCACAGGGCATCACTCACAAAATGAACCGTAGTGTAGTGTTCATTTTAGTGATACCTGGGCATCTAAACAAATAGTCTAACAGAAAAGCAATAAATAAATACATCAATACATAAAGCATTCAGATATGGTACAAAAGTTAGGTTCTTATTCAACTAAACATTAGAATGACTAAGATGTATCATCTTTGTCACTTTATGAGGAATTAAAGTGGAGCCATAACATGTAAGGTAGGGGGTGTCCCTGTGACATCATTACGCTAGGTGAAGGGGCCCCGCACATACCAGACAGAGAAAGGACTGTGTGTTCCCAGAGCCTTCTGGATGACAGGCAGATTTCTCTGCAAGTTTTTCTTTTTAATTCAAGCTATTTACATTTTTATAAATGTAAGTGGTTTTAAAAAATTTGTATTTAAATACATGTAATTCAGTGAGCACCATGAAGTCTCTTTTTTTTCTCAGTTCTGCGTAACATCTAGGCCAATTGGAAGCGGTCACTTGAGAAGCTATACCTAGAATTGCTGCAAGCTTTGGCTTGATGAAGGTTGTATATGACTTCTTATAACGTAAAAGGTCCATCTGATTAGGTGGGAGTACACCTGTTGCGCACTGGTGATGTGGTCACAAAGAAAAGGATTCATGGAATAATTCAATGCATGGTGGAGTTGTGTTACACCTCTAACAGTGAATTTGTATCAATTTTGTTATTCATTGAATATTGTATATGTGTCAGCTGTGGAATTGTCACTATTAAGAGCAATTGTTTTGGTTAAGGATTGGCATGTATATTTTGGACTTGATACAAAAAAAAGTGCTTTTTCACTAATAAGTATATTTATGGTTTATATATGACTTGATATGACACAAAAAATTCAACAGTGCTTTTTGGTCATTCACAGTTTAAACACTAAGATCCTGTCAGCCCTTTTGGAGATCTGGTTTCTCCGTATTCTCCATGGAGAATCAGAGGGACCGAAAACTAAGAGAGATAATTTTACCTTGCACTGTATAATCTGGAGAGATATGTAAAATGAGCCGTTTTTCAGAGTGTTGTAGACCGTTGAGCGTTTGGAAGCCGTTCTCCCTTCGTTCGGAGAACTTTCATAAACTGCATGGAGAACTTTGTTTTGCCGGAGAAACTGAGCAGCGATTATTACTGTTCACAAACGGAGCACTACAGTATGTGATTGAGATTTTTTACATGGCTGTTTTCAATTACTGTGTACAGTTGTTTGTATATTTTGTTGCTACTGTGTGAATCACAATTATGTTATCAAACTGAGTTGGGGGGGAATGGATTTACACAGCAGCAGCACTGGGATATTTGAGATTGTTTCATCTCAGAGACTTTAGACCTCCTGATATTTTATAAGTTTACAGAGAATGGTGTAAAAACAGAAGGCATTCAATGAGTTAAAGTTTGCTATTCAGGTCAAAGGAGAATAGCAACACAAGCTGACAGTAAGTGCACATCTGCTCAAATATTCACTTTTTGGTATACATAAAGGCATCTTTAAATACACAGCATGTCAAACATTGAATTTGATGAGTTATAATCACAGAAGACCAAACTTGGTTAAATTTATGCTATGTAGAAGGACTAAACGATCTCTCAGCATGCATAGAATCACTATAGCAAAATGAATCAAAATTGGAAACAAGTCATATAGTCTGATGAAACGTAGATTTCTGCTATGAATGGCATTAGAGTCAAAACTCAGCATACACATCATGAATGTATGTTAGCTTCTTGTCTTATGTAAAAGGTTCAGTCTGATGGTGGTAGTTATATGATATGTTGAATGTTTTCTTGGACCCCTTAAAGGCATTGCCTTGGGTGTAGGAAAAGTATGGGTATTGCATACAAAATGGTAACAAAGGTGAATTTAGCCTGTAATCCTAAATGTGTGTAATTTGGCTCTCACCTGGGAATTGTTGCTTATTTTCTGCAACCCTTGATGATCACAGTCTGCTCTCCAGCAGAGCAGTGGGTAATATAACAAGCCACACATAATCTCAAAATGGTTCTAAAAAGGTGACAGTGACTTTGGTGTATTTAAATGGACTGCACATTTCTCAAATATAAATATAACAGAGCAACAGCCAGACAAAT